ACCATCAACCTTTGGACTAGACTGATTAGCTCTCTGAGCCACTCAGGGATGATAAGTAATTTTAGATTATATATCACTTGGCTTTTATTTAAAGATTTTCAAGAAACTCACCATCACTCATCTGTCAGCTGGTTATGCTGTGGTGGAGTGCATTAGGACACTGGAAGCTATGCCTCCAGTATTTAAAGCATCAGTGGGCTCATCCATGTTGAACACATTTCAGTAGTCTTGCCAGACTAAAACAGAAAAGGAAGAAAGGCCTGGTGATCTACTTCCAAAAATTGATGTTGTTAGGTGTCAGCAAGTCAATTAAGACTCATAGTGACCCTTTGAATAGCAGACCTGAAACTTTGCCTAGCCTGTGGTATCGTCATGATCTCTGTCCTGCTCAAGTCCATTGTGGTAGTTCCTGTGCCAATTCATCTCGTGGAGGACCTTCCTCTCTTTCACTTCCAACATAGTGCTGGGAGACGTTGTTGTTGTTGTGTACTGTCAAGTCAGAACAGACCCATGGCTGACTCTCTAGTGCGTTTTCAGAGGCTAAATCATGTGGAAGGAGATTGACTGCCCTTCCTTCTCCCGGAGAGCAGCTGGTGGATTCAAATCCCATGCCTTTGGGATTGCAGTGCAGCTTCTTACCACTAGAGCTCCCTGGATGATGATCCATCTAAATTGGAAGGTGCCCAAAACTACAATGGCAGCAACAATGAATTTAAGGATGGCAAAGCTTCATCTCACATCCTTTGGACATGTTGCTAGGAGAGGCTATTCCTTGGAAAGGGACATCATGCTAGGAAATGTTTAGGGTCAATAAAAGAGGGGAAGATCCTCAATGAGATGAACTGATGCAATGACTGCAGCAAAGAGCTCAAGTGTGTCCAAGATGATGAGGAAGGCACAGGATAGGACAGGGTTCAGATCTGCTGTTCATAAAGTTGTTATGAGTTATATTCGACTCGGCAGCACCTAAAAACAGTAGCAAAAAGGAGCTGTGCTGTCAACCCTAAGGCATGGGGCTGGAATTCACTGCTCAGCAGGAGAAAGTTGGGCAATCTCCTCCCCTGTAATTTTCTGTCTCTGACAACTCACTGGATTGGTTGGATTGCTATGGGTTGGTTCTGACTTGATGGCACACAGCAGTAACTATCATTACAAAGATGGGACAAGACTAAGCAATATTTTGTTCTCTTGCATGTGGGGTCACCATCAGTCAGAGCTAACTTGTCCACAACTAATAGGCAAAGTTAGGCTGCATCAGTTTATAGACTGTTTCTGTATATGCAGTCAAATAAAAATGGTTTTTAAATCTATTTATTTATAAACAAAAGCAAAAAATAATATTTTGTAGTATGTAAACATGATTGAACTTCAACTCTCAGTATCTATGAATACAGTTTTATTAGAAGATACACGTAACTATTTACATTTTTCACTGGCTATGGCTACAGAACACATTGCATAATTATAAAAAAATTTTGCAAAGCCTAAATTTAGCAAAGCAGATTGCATAATTGCAATACAATTTAGCAAAACCTAAATTATTTCTTTTTTGGCTCTTTAAAGAAAAGGCTTGCCAAAGCCTGGTATTTCCTGCCAACTCACGATTCCGGCCCACAGTCAGAATTACTGCATATGGAGACTATGTAACCAGTTGTTTAAGGACTTAGCTACTAATTGGTATACAGTTTATCCAAGTGATGATAAAAAACTGAGACTTTTAGATGGCTGACACATTTCAGCTCAAAATTCTGCAGTGCTCCCCTTCATCTAGTTTTAAAATCCTTTGCTTGGTATTCAAGGCCACAGAAGGATTACAGCTACAAGTCTCCTCAATGTCATTTAATTCTTTTCCTGAACACCATGTTCTTATGCTTCTGGTACTGGGTGTATGCCCTCCCTACCTGCAAGCCTACCCTGCAATCCTTGCTGTAAAGTGCGATAGGGTTTGTTCCAACCCATAGTGGTAAGCACAGCAGAATGAAACCCCGGCCAATCCCGTGCCATCCTCAGTCCTCTCGTATGCTTAGGTCTAATTGTACAGCCACTGCATCAATCATCGCCTACCTCTTTTATGCTGACCCTCTGCTTGATTTTGTGTAGAATATGATGTCAGGATCGAAGCTCATCAACAACCTGCATTATGTGGATGACACCCTTGATTGCTGAAAGTGAGGAGAACTTGAAGCACTTGCTTCAGAAGATCAAAGACAGCAGCCTTCACCATGGATTACATCTCAACATCGAGCAAACAAAAATCCTCACCACAGGGCCGACAGGGATGATAGACGTAGAAAGGATTGAAGGTGTCAAAGAGTTCAATTTGTTGATCCACAACCAACACCCTTGGTCCCAGCAGTCAAGAAATCGAAAGATGTGTTGCACTGGGAAAATCTGCTGTTAAGGAGTAAACAATGTCAGTTTAAAGACTCAGGTGAATTTGATTCAAGCCTTTTAATTACTTCCCATGCATCTGAAAGTTGGACAATGACTAAAGATGACAAAATAACTAATGTCTTTGAGTTGTGGTGTTGGAGAAGAATCTGAATCCATGAACTTCCAAGAGAACAAACAAATATGTTTGGGGGCAAAGAAAACCAAGGGTGCTCCATAGAGACAAGGATGGTGAAACTGCATCTCACGTACTCTGGGCATGTTGTTTTGAGGGGCCGTGGAAGAAAATACCATGCTTGGAAAGGCTGGAGGGTCAGCAAAAGAGAGGAAGACCCTCAACACAATGACACAATGACTGTAACAATGGGCTCAAGTATCACAGAGATAATGAGGATGGCACAGGATAGGAAAAGGTTCAGATCAGTTGTTGATAGGGTCAGTATAGTTGACTCGATGGCACAGAACAATATCAATCACTTTACCAAGCACATTCTTTTCTCCAGCAACTGATCCCTCCTCACAATACACTCAAAATACACGAGACATTCCCATCCTTTAAATCTAAGCTTCTGAAATCTTTCCTATTGCTCCAGACAGGCACTTGTCATTTGTTTACAACGCATATTTCCAATGCATTCTACAACTTCATTGTAGCAATTATCAAACACATCCATTTGTTCCTTATATGCTTGCTTTCTCAGTATACTGCAAGTTCCATGATGGGTTGGCATTCTGTCTTCATCCCCATAAACCTAGCAAAATACAAAACTCATAATAAGTAGATAGCCACCTGTTGAATTAATGAAATAAAAAAAAAATTAAAATACCAATTGGTTTCTATTCACCTGTAGCACCAGGGAAAGAAAATTAGGAATAGGAGGATATGGATATGTGGCTAATTGTCTTGATGAACAACTGCTCCCTTTGCTAAAAGACCAAAAATGTCTTTTATTAGGGGATATTTTGATCAAGGATTCCACAGAAAAATTCTGATCAAAAAAGGGAAATTGCAGAACAGAATTTCAGAATCTCATGGACCAGTGTTTCTGGAGCCATGGTTGTTGTTGTTGTTGTGTGGTGCCGTCGAGTTGTAGACGACTCATAGCGACCCTATGAACGAACAGCCTGAGCACTGTTCGTACATAGAGTTTCCGGAGGCAAGCCATTTCGGAAGTGGATGCCGCTCCTGCTTCCAGGGAGCCATGGTAGGTAGATTAAAAAAAAGAAATGAAAATTATTGCTGTCACATCAAAACCAACTCACCGCTGAACCTCAACATGTTTTGAGAGGCTGTAGATAAAGGAGATTGCCCACTTTTCTCCTGTACAGCAACTGGTGGATTTGAATTCTACAGAGGAGTAGACTTTAAGATACCACTAAACCAGATGGACCTCTTTAACTATTACTCTGAAATAAACTTTATATTTAAAACCAAGACATCCCCTAAAGTCATTTTAAAAACCGAACAGCAGCTTAACTAATAAAAACTTTACCTTGAACATTGCTCTCTTTAAGATCTATACATGTGATCCATCTAAATAAAAACTTTTGGAGGCAGGGAGGAACAAGTAGAAGGAGGGTGAGAACGGAGGAACAAGTAGAAGGAGGGTGAGAACGGTGGGACAACTTCACAAATACGATCAGTGTTGCTAAACGGTACATGCTGGACTGGTGTGTGTTTTGTGCATATTTTCAACCTCAAACAAAATGTAGGGGGAAAAAAATTCATTGAATCCAAAAGTGAATTAGATTTGGCTCCTAAATTCATTTCTTTGTCAAACGGCCTCCCCCTCAAACTGAGGTAGGCTCACTTCTATGCAGCTAAGTGAATTTTACCTCCAATGGCAGGAGAAGAGGCACTGTGTTATTCTGATAATCTCTTAGTGATAAAATAAGGTGGGAGTTGCTAGAGCCCTAAATTTACACATAAAATAGAAAAGTCTGATTAAGAACTTGAAACCATCAGGGTAGGCTGTAAAAAGTTACAAGGAGTCTGTGGGATGATTAGACAGAAAGGATTCAGGGCAAAATTCCATTTTGGTGGAAGGGGGGGTAGCAATCCAAACTTAATGTTTTCCTGTAAATTTCACTAATTGCTGTACTCTGCTTTCAAGAACTCAAGGGGGAGGAAGGAAAGCTACCATGCAAACCTCCCTGCTGTTCGGACATTTCCTGTGTAGAAACGTTGGCTCCTTCAGACAGATCAGGCCCAAACATTACTCCCTGGCTTGGTGATTCATCACATTAAGGAACACCCTGCAAGTTTTAACATTTCAGACAGCTAACTCGTACTGGAAATATCTCCAACGTGTATATGACCCACAGTGGGTTAATTGACAGCACCCTGGGCGCCATCCATCAAGAACGTAAGTCCCAGCAAAGTTTAAGCAGAAGGGCTCTGGGAGTTCATTCATAAACTTGTCGTGCCTGCCCTTTGTGTTCGAGGGATGGAGAAGTGACTGGACTCAGAAGGGTTACATAGGCCGGCAGGAAGGAGGCCACATGGACCGTGGCGCTGAGCGAGTGTAGCTTCCCAAAGGACAGGTGACGATGAAGACAGAAAAGAAGTGAGCAGCGGGGCAAAGGGCAAGCAAGAGGCTGAAGGCTACCTGGGGGCGAGCGGGTGAAGTTTTGGCCCTCCGAGTTGACCACTTGCAAGAAGAAATAGCGGACGGGCAGAACGACGTGCGCCTGCAGCCCAGGCCCCCACACCAGGCTCCGCGGCGCGCTCACCGAAGCCTCGGGGGCCCGCGCGGCCACGAGCAAGGCGAGCTGCAGCGGCAAGACCCCGCGGAGGCGCTGCATGGTCGTCAGGCCTCTGCGCTCAGGCTCTGCAGCAGCGGGGGGGGCCGGGGAGCCGCGAGTCCGGGCTCACCCGGGAAAGGCCTCTGGGGCGGGGCCAGGGGCAAGCGGGGGCGGGGCTGTGGGACCGGGCCTGGGCCCACCGCGGGGTGGAGCCTGAACCCACAAGGGTGTGGGCCTGTGAGGCGGGGCCCACAGGCCTGGGCCCACCAGGGGGCGGGGCCTGGCTCACCAGGGGGCGGGGCCTGGCTCACCAGGGGCGGGGCATAGGCTAGGTCGGGCAGGACCGGGGCCGCAAGGTGGCGGGACCGAGACTCACCAGGGGCGGAGCCTATCAGCCGCCACCGTCCCAACCTCCCGATCTCTCTGGGAGGAACAGGAGGAAATGTGGGTGGTGCCCTTGCGCATCGCTGAGGGCAAGAGGTGGAAATAGACTTCAGCCCTTAAGCCAGTGACCTTGATGCCCCTCAAGGCTCTGGAACCAGCACCTCCTTCCCTCATAGTGTTTGCTTTTGATTAAAAAGCTTATAAAGAGGAAGCTCTGGTGGCCTAGTGGCAAGAAGCTTCACTGCAATACTGAAAGCATGTGGTTCGAATCCACCAGATGCTCCGCTGGAGGAGGGGCAATTTTCTCCTGGGCCGGTTGGATCTGATTTGACGGCACACAACAAGAAAATCAATCTTTTTTTTCTTTAAAAAAAAAAAGCTTACAAAGCATTGCCTGCTGCCCTTCCTTCCCATACCTCTTCTTTATACATATATGAATTTACTGCACAAGGAGCTCTGTGTTAGGGAGCGCTGTTGTTAGGGAGTTGCACTGCTAACCCAAAGTAGTCGACAGTTCGAAACCACCAGGCAATCTCCTCTCATGCTATTTACAACCTCAAAAAAACCCTTGGAGGGGTCAGCTCTGATTTGACAGCAATGAGGGAGAATAAGGGATTTGCAGCATATCAAGCCTGTTTTTTCACTGATTTTGTTCAAACATTCTTCTAGGTCGTATAGACCTGGTGTGTGCTTGCCGCACAGCGGTAACTTGTGGTTGCTGTGAAGCTAAACACTGTGACACTGATGTGTCAAATGCATTAATGGTCACCCATGGCGGACAGTGTTTGCGTGAAGCTTCCCGATTGTTTTAATCGGGAAGCAGAAGTGGCATCCACTTCCAAAATAGCTTGCCTCCGGAAACCCTATGAAACTGGAGAAAGGATGAAAGTTATACAAGTGTCCAGGTCTTTTGTTGATAGGGTCACTATGAGTCATCTAAGACTCGATGGCACTTAACAACAACTGTTTTAATGGCAAGAAACTACAATCCCAAAGGCATGCCACCAACTCCTCCACGGAGAAGGATGAGCAGTCTCCTTCTGTGTGATTAACTGCCCCTGCAAACCGGCCGGAGGGTCAGCTATGAGTCAATTCTGACTTGATGGTACACCACCACTACCACCACCACCAAAAGAACAATATGAATGTAGAAATATCACCTATGTAAGACAAATATATAAAATATGTATCTTATAGGTGAGCTCTGGTGGCCTAGTAACAAGAAGCTGCACTGCAGTCCCAGAGGTGAGCAGTTTGAATCCACCAGATGCTCTGCTGGAGGAGGGACAATCTCTTCCTGTACCAGTCAGATCCGATTTGACGGTTCACACACACAAAAAATTTTAAAAAAAGTTTTATATTTTATATAAACTTATATAAGGTCAACAAAGTCTTGGAACAGTATATGACAGACCAGCATTTTAATAAAAGGAGCAAATGAAATACATTTCCCCTTACAGAGATAACCATAAATTCAGTACCCTCCCCCTGAAATGTGTATCTTGAGAAGGATGGGCCATCTCCTTCCGTTTGATTATGGTCTCTGAAAACCCACTAGTGGGTCAGCTATGGGTTGGTTTTGACTCATTGGTAACACACACACACAGACACACACACACACACACACACACACCCGAGGATAGCAACTCAAAGCCATTTCATTACCAATGATAGTGTTGCTATCTTGAATGTGGACAGCACCTTAGTAAAAACAATTTTACTGTCCTTTACAAAAATATGTGTAGTATGTTCAGTTATAGACAATAGTATCTTCTCAAATTGGTTCAAACAGAACAAATAATACAACTAACTTGCCCACAAACTCAATGAGAGGCTGAGAAAACAGACTGTAAGCTGATATTCTAAGACCAGTTCCTAAAACAATGGCAAGCAATTGGACTGTCAAGGGAGTTAGGACCAGAAAGATAGCAGGAATTAGGAAGCAGACTGAGCCAGTCTACAGAGTATCGTATACATGGATCACTCAGTAACTCACTGCTGTTAACTTAGAGCTGAGCTTTCAGTGACCATAAATTGCATGGGAGGAGATAGCCATCTTTTCCCTCCCGCAGCAAGTGGATTCCAACAGCCTTCCTCTGGGTTGGCAGCACAACTACCTACCAAGAGGCCACCAGAGCTCTCTGTTTTATGAGACTGTCAGGTTAATGAGTTATCTTGTAAGTGCAGCAAAATCTGAGACACTGAGCAGTAGTTGACACCTAGAGTCAAATCCTATTTTCATTGCCTGCTTATCCTTTTTCTCCACTAAATTATGGCAGTATTCAAGTCAAAGACTACAATTGTTGTTGCTTTGTGCTGTTGAGTCGACTGTAACTCATGATATTTAGTATAAAATTGAAAACACAGCAGCACTGGGGAAATATATGTACTGGATGGAAAAAAAAATTACAATAATCTGGCCAAGAAATAGGTTGATTTGTAGATATGCTAAAGACATGGAGTAAGAAGAAAAGAAAGCAAGTTGGTACAGATTCAGTATTGCTAAACATGACAGTGTTCAGATATGGCATCCTTGATGTGTTTTCAAAAAAAACAACAAAAACACACACCACAAGGTATTATCCTAAGTATTATGATTTAGTTGTTTTTTCTTGTGAACTGACTCAGAGCTGTTCCATATGAGTTTATTATTTTTTAAGTGAAATGTGGATCAGAGTAATTTTGAACCAGTTTGATCCAAACTAATTTTTCATTTAAAACATACAGGTAGCCCAACAAAATAAAATTTAGCCAAGAAATGGTACACTTTTGGCCCAAAATTTACCACAAGTGTTTGGAAAACTTTCTGAAGTACGAAGAGTACCTGTATAAATCTCTATTTAGCAAACAGGAGGAAAACAATCAAATGTGGAATAAAAATGGTACAAGATATTTAAAATGGGGATATTGAGGCCTGAGGCATGAAGTAGATGGCTCACACACTTTCATAAATGTAGTTATTAGTATGATGACTATATGGAGAAAAACAATATCATGAATTAAATACAGTGTAAAAGAAAGAATATATAAAACACAATGCACAGGCATAAACACAATGTATATGAATGATTGTATGTGAACCACTGTTGTTGTTGTTAGGTGCTGTCCATTCGAGGATGACTCATAGCGACCCTATGAACAGATTTGATCTTGTTCTATCCTGTACCAACCTCACAATCTTTGATACACTTGAGCCCATTCCTGCAGTCACTGTGTCAATCCACTTGGGTGAGGATGTTCCTCTCCTTCACCATCCAACCACCTTTGCAAGCATGATGTCCTCCTCTAAGGAACAGCCTCTCCTGGCAACATGCCCAGTGCAAGGTGAAACTTCACCCTCCTTGCCTTCAGGGAGCACTCTGGTTGCACCTTCTACAAGATCTATCTATATGTTTGTTCTCTGGCAATTCACGGGATATTTGGTACTGTTCTCCAACACCACAGTTCAAAGGCATTGTTTTTTCTTCTGCCATCCTTATACATTATCCAGCTCTCAGCAGCATCACAAGTGTTTGAAAAGACCATGGTCTGAATCAGACACATCCAAGTCCTCAAACTAACATCATTGCTCAGTAATTTGGAGAGATCCTTGACTGTAGACTTTCCCAGTGAGGGAAAACAACAACAACAACAACAACAACAACAACAACAAATCCCATCAATACCCAAAAAACAACCAACAGACTAGGACTGCCAGCTTCTTTTATATCCAACTTCCAGTTACTGAAGAGAGGTGGATAATGGACAGGACCAACCACTCTTTTCTGATTCTGAAGGCCAAGAGCTTCAGGTTTTGAGGTGAAGGACGCTCCTGTACCAGTCTAAGGACTGGGGCACACTCTGCCTTCTGCTCTGCTCCCTAAACCTTCATTGAATAAAAGCAAAAGGAGCTGAGGGGTGGGGAGAAGAAGGGGGAAACAGGAGCATCTCAGTCCAGAGAGGAAGCTGCCAGAGAAGAAACACCAAAAACCAGTAGGACTGTCTGTAAAGGTGAACAGAGGACCCTGAGAGGTGATGTGTGTGGGCCCATGACTACGGTGATATTTGGCTCTGCAGCTTGTAAACCCAGTGACATTCTTTAAGCCACATGGAAATTCTTCCCAGTGGAGTCCTGTCTCCCACTGCAGTCACTCCTGTGTTCTCATCCTTTCAAATGGGTTTTCTCTGGACTGCTGACCAATGCAAACACCCAGACATGAAGGACATGCATGCAAGGATGCTGATCCAGACCTTGGTCTGAGGATTGGGCCCTTTATTTTGCTTCCTTGTCCCATTAACATGGGACACAAAGACAATGTTCTATACCCTATTCTGGTGAGTAGTGACTGGAGTTCTTAAAAGTGTGTGAGCATCTATGGTACAATTATTGGTCTCTCCCTGTCTGGAACCAGCTGGGGAGAAAAACAAAGATGAACTTAAATGAAGGAACAATAGGCCATGCGACCCTCAACTTCCACAGCTCCTCCTTTTAAAAACACCCATATGAATGCTGGAAAGAATGTGGAAAGGTGGGAACTCTCATACACTGTTGGTGGGATTGTAAAATAGTACAACCACTTCGGAAGGCTTTTTGGTGTTTCCTCAAAAAGCTGAACATAGAAACTCCATTTGACCCAGCTATTCCACTACGAGGAATATACTCTAAAGAAATTAAAACTGACAACAAATGGAGATTTGTACACTAATATTCATAGCAGTGTTATTCACCATTGCAGAACAGGTAAACAACTCAAATGTCCAACCACAACCAAGTGGAATCAGAAATTGTGGTTCATTTACATGATGGAATACTATGCAGCACAAAGGAGCAGGAACAACAAAAATATATCTTGTGAGGGACTGGAGAGCATTATTCTAAGTGAACTAACTCAGTCTCATAAGGGCAAATGCTACCTAAGACCATTATTGTAAAAATAAAAGGATAACTAGTAAAACGTGTATGGGGATCAAGGGGGAAGGGAATGGGAGCAGAGGAGTGAGGGCGGTTAGGGCAAAATCACGGGTTGCACAATCTGGTGGGTGGAAAGACGGCGTTAAGGAAATGGGAAGGATCTGGGGGGGGACTTGAAAAGACCAGGTAATAGGCATAGTTCAATGTTGATAAGTTTTAAAAAACAAAAATGCATAATGTATGGGAATGGTTATATGAAACAAAGTCAATGAAGGAAAGTGTGTATGTGAATGTACATAATTTAAAAAAGGAAAAAAATACATTCAAGTTAAATTTATACTTAAAGATTAAAATATATCATAATATTATTTTTAAAAACCCACTATATTATTGATCTTACTTAAGAGTTCGCTGGAAGGATTTCTTTGTTGTTGTTGAGTCCTGTGGAATTGCAATAGACCCACTGGTGACTCCCCAAGAAGTTTTCAGAGACAATTACTCTGAAAACTGAAGGAGATTGCCCATTCTTCTCCTGCAGGGCAGCTGGGGGATTCAAACTGTGAGCCTTTCAGATGGCAGCACAGCTCCTTGCCCCTAGTCCATCAGAGCTCCCATGTAAGGATTTGCTTGAATATTCTTGCCTTTTAAAAAAATTATTTTTCCATTTTCCTGAAGCTTCCACACTTAAAAAGAATCATTTGAGGATAGAAATAAAAACCAGTTCAAACAGCAGATCAGTTTAAATAATTTATTTCCTCATAGGCATTGTTTTAAATGTGCACGTCTTGCAACCCATCCCATACCCAGAAAACAGGTTTGAGAAGAACTACATAAAAGGATTATTTGACAAAGTTTTAATAAAAGTGCATAAGGCTTATTTGTTTCAGAAGGACAGAATTGCCAGCCACTAAGTATCACTAAGTGGCAGGCAGTACCTTACAAAGTTGCTTGAACAGTATTTACATATTTACACTGTGCATTGAAATGGAATTTCCTGAATTATTATTATTGTTAACATTGTACTATTAGCAACAAGATCTCTTTAACCTTTTGACATTCAGTAGAGAAGTTTCCAAATTGATTGCCAATCTCACCATAACCAAAGTGGACTTGTTTCCACAACATCCAGCACAGGCACCCATTTATCTCGCACACAAACTAGTTTTATCATCATAACACTTATTTATTAATAAGGTACAGTCAGCATTTCAGTAACATCATTATATCTACTATGTATGTGTGTTTTAAGGGTAAATATTTTTCTAAAGGAAGTTTCTAAACATTAAAACATTCTCATTAAACTTTATTTGGCATGGACTTCATAATATAGAATTTAGTATAAGTTTCACAAAGTACTTGTTAGTATTGATCCCTCATGAGTTTATGTATCCCATTTATGTGGATACTTACTTCAGTAGTGATTATATCTTTTCAAAAATAGGTTATGACTATACAAATAATTATAAATTACCATAGCTATAACACATATAAAAACGCAGCAGTTTGTATGTCAAAACACATAGAAATTTGCTTATACTTCTTTAACGAAGTGCTTTATAAAAAATATAAAAGTATATAGTAAGTGCTATTTTCTTTAATTTTTTTATTTCTTTATTCTCAGACTAGACCAAAGAATAAACATTACAAATGGTACAATTGCACATTGACCATTGACCACTTTTGAGTCCAGGCAGTAGATGCCAAAGCAAAGAATTTGGGCCCCAAAGCAGCTTTCATCTAACTTAACTAAGTTACCTTAACTTACCTAACTGCTGAGCTAGCCTAAACTCACTGAAAAATTAGCCAACCTCATTTCCCCTTCTGTAGCATAATTACTCAATTAGAACAGGCAAGCTGATTGCTAGGAAAAAACCACACATCTTACTATTAACTCTCATTACCTTAAACTGCATAGAAAACATAGGTCACACTTTACAAAAATTTACTTAAATAATATGATAAATAGAAAAATAGGCAAGAATGGGATTTATCAACTTATTTTAAAGATTAAGGTGTTATTATTTATGATATGACTCGCAAGTTAAAATAGTTGAACTTAAATTCTACAGTCAGTCTCTTAAGAGCAATAAGATTGGGCAGAGCCTAAGTTTAAGATAATTTACAGATATGCGGAATAGCATGTTACTACATCTATATTAATTTTTACATTCATGGGAACGATATAAAGTGACCCAGTATACTCCTTCTAGCCAACGCAATGGTTATGATAATAACAATACAGTATTTTCTTCTATTCCTATCCATTCCAAATCTGTCCACATCACCAACATCTATCATTATCCTTAATGTATGTGGATGACAGAGACCAAGTAAGAGAGATGAAAAATAAAGTTAGTTAACTCAGAAAATAAATATAAACAAAAAAAAATCATTCTCATGAACATGTCTATTTATACTGTTTACTTTGTAAGCTTTTTTGGTGAAGATGGTATTTTGTACAAAAATACCCAGCCAAGCAATCAAACCAACAACCTTCAGAGTTCTGACTCTTTGTCATTTTCATCCAAGTAGTATTCATCATCTGTGGTTGTGTCCGTGTCACAGTCTGAGCCCACTGGGTCATCCTCATAGATATTAAGTGGTTCATTTGGAGATAAGCCATCTTCTGGCATCTGACAACTAGGAGAATTTGGGCTCGATGATTCTGATGGGTTGGAAGGGTTAGTTATATCATTTTTCAGGAAGCCTGGGTTTTTAAGGAAACTTGGTTTCCATAATCTTCCTTGTGTGAGTGACCTCTTTACATTCTCCAGGAAAGCCAATTGTTGCTCCTTCCCAAAAATCCCATAGTCGATAGGTCTGGAGATTGATGTTGCGGATTTGGGTCCTGTTTTCATCCTGTCATACAAAGCCCAGCTTTCACCTTCATCACAGGAAGGAAGTTCAGAGAAAGATCTGAATCTTCGACTATACCCATTGTTGACAGAGAATTCACTCCCAAGGGTCAGTCGGCTCAGGGCGTCATCTACAGAAGTGTTTTCTGAGCAATGGCGCTCCCTGACTTTGGGGGGATGACTTATGCGTAGCTTATCACCATGCATGTTGATGCTTCTTAGACTCTTTGAGCGATAGAGATGTGGCTCCGGTTCCTGCTCTGGAGAGAAAGCACTCCTTTGCTGCTGCTGACAACTGGCCAGTGGAATGCTGGCTGGAGGAGACTTGAGTATGGGCTCCAGTGGACGAGGAGAGCTTAATCTCCTCTGATGGGCAGACAACCCTGCTTCCCTGAAGTTGATAAATATGGGCTGGGCCAGAGTTCCTGGCTCTCGCTCCAGAGTCTGAGCTTCTGATACATCTCTAGTGGTATCATCATTTGGTGGTGACTCTGAGATGTTCATAAACTCACTCCAATGCGGCTGTGCAATGCTGGTGTTGGAGTTCTGATTAATTAAGTGTGGAGGTGGTTCTCTTCTGGCTGTTGCAGCAACCTGGGGTTCAAATTTCTCCACATCCACTCCATCCTTACTCAGCCTTGTGCCATCATCTGTGGGTGCATCAGACGTCAGTGTGGGCTCAGAAGGTGGCGGTTTGCTCTCTGGCGTGCTGGGAGTTCCAATACTAGACCTGCTGTCACCTGAGGTGAAGATAGTAGCTACATGTCTTCTGGGGCTTAAATCTTTACCTGGGAATTTTCTGCTTGCTCTGGACACAGCGGCCAATCTGTATTTACCCAAAGATCTGTTTTTCCCTTTTTCTAAGACATCCAAACTGGCTTTATTTTCACTAATTCCTCCAGAAAACAAAGGCTGATCCCATGCTGATCTCTGTAGTTCCTCTTGAAACTTCTTGGTGTCTGTCATGGTTCCCTTCTGACTTCTATGGGGTATTTCTTTGGGTTCAGATTGTAAACTCCCTTCATCTAATTCACCTGGATATATCTCCTCATCAACTTGTAGCCCATGCAAGGCTGGAGTAACATTAAAGCCTTGTTTTTCTGAGTTAGAAAGGACTTCACTCACCATTTCTTGGCTATCTATTCCAATTTTCCCTCTGACTTCTATACCCTGTGACCCAGGAGCACAATCCTCTATAGATGTGGCTGGGACACTCTCTTTCTGAGGACGTTCTTCATTTCTAATGTGTACAATAGTTACATCACTATTCTTCTCAAGAGTTTGAGAATTTTCAGCATTATCCGCCGAATGGGCTGCGAGACCAGAGGGACCACAATTACCTGATTTAATGGATGGCTGACAATTTTCTAACTTGTCTTCTGCCATTTTTTCTGTCTGAAGCACTAACGGGGTATGCAAGGCTTCCTTTGGCAATTTTTTCCCTTTCTTTTTTCTGCTTTGTGAATCCCCTTGAGGGGCTTTTGTAAAGTTATCTGGAAAAGTCTCTCTCACTTTAGATGCTCCCCTGGGAAGAGAAGCATTTGCCTGACCAGAAACCATTTCTGGTAACACAGACCCCGAGGACCCACTATTTGGTAAGTGTAAAACAGTCACTTCTTCAGTGGTGTTGGAAAGACAAGTGCTTTTCTCCTGAGCAGCCTCCACGGCCATCTTTGGATCTTCAGATGAAAGTGTTCCTGGCTCCTCTTGTGCAGAACAATTTAAATTTAGTGGCTTGTTTTGCAAAGCACTAGGAAACATTTCCACTTCTGCTTTGAGGGACTCGGTGAGGGAATCGGTATTTTGTGTATATTTCTGAAGAAGGTCACTGAATTTTTTGCTGTATTTCCTTGGTAGAGTGTAATATATTGAAACCACCTCAAGACACTTCACATGATCATCATCGCCAGAAACAGAAAACAGGCTAGTGGTTTTATACTTCTGTAATGTTTCCCCTCCTTCCTTTCCAGACAAGGGGAAGGGGTCCTCATTTGGCAGGGAAAATGTCCCTGCCCTGGGGGTTGCAGTTTTATCTTCCTTTTCAGTGGATTCTTGTGGGTGTTCTTTGTGACGATTGCTTTCATTTAAAGAACAATCCCTCACAGATGAGTCACTTTCTGGAGTGTGAATGATTCTCTCCCAAGACTTTGCTGTTACAGCAGAAGCATATGCTTCTGAGACAGAGCATTTTTCTCGTTCTTCATTCACAGTTGGGGAACGTGACTCCCCAGAAGGACAAGATACAGTCCTCTTGACAAGGAAAGGTGGTGGTCCTTTCCTAACAGGAGCAATTCCAGTGATTTTTGTATTTACCATCCTCTCTGTGGCTGCTGGTGCTACTGGAGTCGAGTCTGAAATGCCTTTAGAACCTGTGTTTTCAGACTCAGGAGAACTGGGACTGAATTGGTTGGATGTGTACTTCCTGATGGGGTCTTCTAGATGATTTCGGATTTGGAATGGAAGTGGCCCATTTCTAAAGGAAGTGCCCATGACCTTACTTTCGGACTTCAAGTTACTAAGGAGAAAACTAGGTGATTTTCTTGGTAAGGTACAATAAACTGGGTGAGGCTCCGGAGTCTTGGAACGGCCCCGGTTCACCTCACTGAGGTTACTGTTATTTGTGGCTGTGGACTGACTTTCTAGTTTGCTTACGTTTTCAATACAAGATATACGACGGTTTATTCTCCCTTTCCCCTTTCCGTCCCTGAAAGGATGGTGTGAGTGGCAGCTGACAGCATTGACCCCTTTATCACGTACAGACACACAACTATCATTTTCCTTTTGGCTTTCAAAGGGGCTTACCGTAAATGAATTCTTTTGGTTCTTGATAGTATTGTTTTTTTCTCGTCTTTCTTCCGGAGACAGAGCATTTCCTAAAGAACTTCTCCTGGAGAACACTGTAGGAGGATTCACCAGGGCACCAAGGAAAGACTTATTCAATGGTGTGGAGTCTTGGAGTGCACCTGATGGTGGATCTAAGCGATCACGTGAGACATGGTGGCTGGCAGCAGAGTCCCAGCTGATGGACTGGGTCATGGCACATTGCTTTCCTTTGGGATCTAGACTATTGGGCTTCCTTGGAGTCTGTGAATTTTGATTATCAGTAAATTCAACACTCTGATGGTTAGTGTCGATAACGCCAGTAATGTTTTCATTACTTAGGCCTGATTCCTGGTTCACACCTTGGTGTGAGGCAGGATAAGACGATGATGTCCTGTGGTCCTGAAGAAAGGAAGGGGAGGTTGCTGAACCAAAGTTTTTGTCTCCAGAAAAATTATTTCCTTTCCTAAGTTCATTAGCTTTATCTCTGGGTGAAATGTAGATTTTGGAGATATCTTTCCTGGGAAGGACTCTGGGTGACCTCTTTGAACTTATTGTGGTAGGTGCATTAAAAACAAACCTGTTGTTCTCAGCTGAGTCTTGGGAGAAGGGATTTTGAAACTCGGGTAAGGGGTTAGAGACGTTCATCTGTAAAACAGGTTGTAGCATTTCACCTGCCATGCTTGTCTGGTCCACCTTGATTAGCTGTTTGCACTTTTCTGAAGTTGAGCCATCCAAGCTCTTCTCATTATTCTCTTCTGTGACCAAGACACTGGACTGGCTGTCAGCAAGATGTGAAGAATCTATTCCATCACTGTAGGTCACCTTGACTTCTGAATGGCTTCTACCTGGGAAGTAGGCAGGTTCATTGGGCATCACTTCCTGCAAAGTGACTCTGGGAGTCTGAAATTCGGAATGCTGAGGATTCTTTTTGTCATCTGGAGTCTGGGGGAAGGAAGTTTTGGATGAAGATGGTTGAGAAATTTCAAAAGCATAAGCATCTTTATTCAAAAGTCTGTCTCTGGGAGAGGTGTCTTGCTGACATTCCAGCCCATCAGATTTGATACGATAGCTTGAATCAGCCATAGGGCAAACACCTGCTGTGTTGAAATAAGGAGGCAACTGGGTCCCACTGCCTTGTGACACCTCCATGCCCTCCAGTGTGGATGCCTGAAAATCAAACTGCCTAGGACATGGTTCTTCTCGGTCTCTGTAAACATTTGGCTCATAAGCAGGAGAAGATGATTCCCAGTGTTGAGAGGGGACATGACGGCCATGAGCAGCTGACGCACTGTTTGTATCAATGGAAATCATGTCAAAATCTCTGTCAAAGGAAGTGAATGGGTTCCTGTTTGAATAAAAGTCAGATAAGGAAGAATGATCTTCCCGTTGGCCCCAAAAAGAACTTTGTTCAAATATCTGTTCTCTGCTTTGTCCAAAAGTATTGCTAAAGAAAGCTCTAGCAAATGGGTTGTCTTGATGGTAGAATGGCATATTTTCTGTGTTCTCAAATGGGTCGGGGCTCATCGCACTCTCCATTGGAGCACCGATATTAACACTTTGATAAGCACTCTGTGAACGGTAAAATTCATACCTCCTTTTCTCCTGAAAACAGCTGGGGTATGTGTACTGATCAGCAGGGTCAATTTCCATAGGGGATGGTGCTCTCGGGAACTCTCTCTGATTCTGTCCATCTCTCAGAGGATCTGATCTATTCCATATAATGGATGATAAAGGCGTTCTCTTTGGGCTCTGTCGGTGGCTCTGTGATATAAACCCACTCTTGCTCTGAGTGGTGGCTGGAAAATGCAAGCTTCTTGCTGTGAAATGCCTTGTGGCTGGTGAGGCTGATTGTTGCCTGCTGTCAAAACATAGAGAGGAACTACCAAAAGTATTCTTTTGTCCATAATCTTCTTTTACTACTCTGGGTTCTCTTGTCCTATACATATCATAAATTGTTCTTGTTCTAGGAGCAAAGGTCTTAAAACCTTCCCTAGGTGCTCCTGGTCTTAGAATGTCATAGATAGACATATTGGAAGTCTCATTATAGCGATTTTTGTGTCTTCCTGGAGTATTACCAGGTCTGTTCCCGCTGGAGTGAAAACGACTGAACTGTGTTCTTGATTCATAGTTGAAGGGTGCTCTGATATTCACTGAACTTGAAGATTGTTCCTGAGCCAGCTTGCTATCCAAGTCATCTAAAACTGAAAGGAGAACATGAGTCAATTTTTTTTTGTCTAAGATGTTTATATTTTAATGAAAATTTGAGGGAGTTGCAGTGCCAACTCAAAGGCATGGGGTTTGAATGTACCCTTCTCTGTGAGAGGAAGATGGGCAATCTCTTCCTATAAGATTTACAATCTCTGAAAATATGCTGGAAGGTCAGCTATGAGTCAGTTCTGACAACAATAATGATAATTTTAATGGTTGAGAGACCATCTTTAGGAAACATTTATAATTTTACTTTATACTACTACAAATATTGATTTTATTTTTTTTACTTGAGTGAGCATTTACATATCATATTGATTCTTCTTTCACACATTTTTTATGCTTTAAGTATAACTTCATTCAATCATTAATACAAATATTACTTTATAACATTGTAAGTTGGAAGACCCCAGATGAGATGTATTGACACAGTAACTAGGATAATGGGAGTAGGAGTGTTTGAGTCAGTGAGACTGGCTCAGGATAGGGCAGGGTTCAGAGCTGTTGTACTTAAGGTTGCTATGAGCTGTAGGTGACTCAATGGCATACAACAATAATAGCAACAAGTATAATCATTCGATCATTCAGACATATACTCTTTTATAACATTAACTATAACTGACTGTTGTTGTTATGTGCCGTCGAGTCGTTTGCGACTCATAGCGAACCTATGTACAACAGCCCTAAACCGTGCTCTATCCCGTGCCAATCTCATTGCCTCTGACACACCCATCCCGATTACCCCAGTCACTGAATCAATCCACCTCATAGAGGGTCTTCCCCTCCTGCGCTGTCCCTCTCTAAAGACCTGACTAGTATAATGAATTAATTACAATGTCTAAGTGGTACAGCACTGGTCTGTCAGTTTGCTGTACTGAGGTAATTTGGGGTTGTTGTGATGCTGAACACTATGCCACTGGTGTGTCAAATGCCACAGTGGTTAACCATGGTGGACAGTGTTTGGGGGAGCTCCCCGACTATGACAAGCCTGGAAGCAGGATTGGCGTCCACTTCCTAAATAAAATGCCTTTGGAAACCTCTATGAAAATTAGAGAAATGATGACAGTTATAGAACAGGGTTCAGATCTTTTCTTCATGGGGTCACTATGAGTTGTGCTCGACTTGACGGCTCTTAACAATAACAATCAGAATGTATCCTATCTTTCCCTTCACCCATTTTTAAGTCAGTTTGATTTTAACAAGACAGAGGTAAGAGTTGTTAGATCATACTTCTTCAAACAAAACAAACCTTCCAAAATATCTTAAGGACTCTAAATCTAATTTTCTAACAATTTTAATCTGATGGGATTTTGGTTTTGTGTGGGTTTTTTTTTTTTTTAATTTGGTTGTTTTTTTTTTTTTTTAAACTGCATACAAAGTGTGCTACGTTTTTATAAGGCACATATCTAGTAATGAAATGGAACTGATAATATAGATTTCCGTAGTGATTCTAACATTGAATAACCGTGTAACCCCGGGTACTAGTAGGCCTTGTCCTGTTTCTTTCAGGTGACTAGGCTGTCATGATCCTTCACCTGTGCTTACCTCAGGCTTGGCATGGAAATGAGAGTCTGAAAATAGCATGTGACTTCTCAGTAGTATCGTTAAGAAAACAATTGCTCATTTCAGTATTAACACTAAAGGTTTAACATTTAATTTGTAAGTATTCTTATTTGGCCAGACTCAAGAAATACATAAAGTAAAAGTCCCATTCATTCACCATGTTAGATGATATCCTTACACACTCTGCATGTTTAGTGCTATTATTATTTTTGAAATGAAATTGAGGCCTTTAGCATCAGTAAGCTGCTCCATCCCACATGCTTTGGCACATGGACAGGAGAGATTAATCCTTGGAGAAGGACATCATGCTTGGAAGGGTGGAAGGACAGCACAGGAGAGGAAGACCCGGGATGAGATGGATTGACATAATGACTGGGGTAACGGGGGTAGGTGTGTCAGAGACAATGAGACTTGCTCAGGACAGGGAAGGTTCAGAGCTTTTGTACACAGGGTTGCTATGAGTTGCAGGCAACCCAATGGCATGTAACAACACAACAACAAGCTGTCAAGGTCACACAGCTAGTAAGTGGCAAAGCTGGAATTTCTGAGTTCAGTAAGTCACTCAACTTATGAAAAATACAACTTCTATGCCAGAAAACTCATTTTTCACTTTTTGCCTTGAGAGCTTTAAAGATTATTTTACTACAAGCTTACATGTTTGATAAGGAGCTCTGGTGGCACAACACATAGAGTAATAATCTGCTAATCTAGATGCCAACAGTTCAAATCCACTAGCTACTGCTCAGGAGAGAGATGGGAAGTCTCCTCCCACTAAGATTTATAGTCTCAGGCCCCAGTGAAGGGTCACTAGGTGTTGAAACTGACTCAGAGGCAGTGGGTTTAGGTTTGATTTTTTTATATATTTGCAAAGTTAGGAAGGTGCTATTTTCAAACCGTGTTCCTTTAGTAGTAACATTAGAGTATAGTGTCTAAATCAGGGCTTCCTGACCTACTTCTAATGTGGAGAACCTAGGCCAACTGAAGGCCCAGTGTTCATGATGGCTAAGGAAACAATCCCTGTGACTCCAGGGAAGTCACAGCACATTTTCAGTGTCACAGCTGGTCTACCTATGAATTCTAGTTATTTAACCACACTTGAAGGAAGATAATTTGTGCACTGGTTAAAGATTTGGCAGCCAATCAGAAAGTCAGTGGTTCAAATCCACCATCTCCTCCTTGAGAGAAAGAGGGAACATCTGTTTCTGTAAAGATTTATAGCCTTCGGAAACCTACTCAACCCTACGAGGTCACAGTGAGTTGAAATCAACTCATGAATAGCGGTGGGCTTGGATTTGATGTGGCCACATTTGACTTCTTATGGAGAACCTCTTCACATTGAAAGAGAACAATAATCTTTTAGGTATTTTTAATTCCCCAAGGCTCAACTTAATTATAATTTATATTATTCTTGTTATAATTAGTAAAATCAGGTTAGTTGTTTATAGAGTTAAAACTCATAATTTATATGTGAGATTAGTTAAATTACTAAAGAAGTTGGTTTATAAAAATTTTCCTTATTATTACATAACATAGGGTTCTATTCTTGGTTTTTTAAAAATTATATGATTGGCAGGGAAAGTGAATGATACATCTTAGTATATGAGCACATCCAGACAGAATGTGTATGTAACATCAAGCCAAAACCAAACTCGCAATTATCAAGTCAATTCTTACTCAACGTGATTCTCTATCAGGTTTCCAAGGCTATAGATTCTCCCAAGCAGTGGTTGATGGATTTGAACCATTGATCTTTCAGTTATCAATCTGCCGTATTTCATTTTGCTTGGATCAACAATCAACACTTTTGGAAGCAGCACTCAAGAGGTTGGGCAAGTCTGAAGAGCAATGCTGTCAGTCTGAAGACTAAAGTGCACCTGAGTGAGGCCATGGTCTTTTCAATCACTCTGTATGCATCTCATGGCTTGGCAAAGGCCAAGAATGACCAAGGAGGAAAGGATGCCTTGAGTTGTGGTGAGAGTTGTGGTGAGAGAAGAGTACGGAATATCCCATGTACTGCCAAAAGAACAAAGAGCTATGCCTTGGAAAAAGTGTGCAGGCAGAGTGCTGCTTGGAGACAAAGCGAAGTTTTGTCTCTCATGATTTGGGCATGTTGGTAGGACAAGCTATTCCTTGGAAAGGGACAGCTTGCTTGGAAAGGTGGAAGAGAAGAACCCCCAAGGAGATGGATTGACAAATGACTACGACAATGGGCTCAAGTGAGTCAGAGATAATGAAGATGCTCAGGATAGGACAGGGTTCAGGTCTGTGGTTCACAGGGTCACAAGGAGATGTATTCCACAGCACTTGACACCGACACCATCATCACCATCATCACCACCATCACCACCGCCGCCACCACCACCACCATCTGTGCTCCCTAAAGCCCATTCCAATAGAGAAGGTGCTAAAGGGCCCTTTGAAGTTTGTTCTGGACTGTCTCTGCTCTATTTCAGTTGTATTATTTTTCTGTTAAGACTGCATAGCCAATAGAAGGACTCAGATTGAGTATTAAGAACTTTTAACCAAGGAACTTTCTCGGATTGCTTTAATTAAAAAAAATTCATTTCCAGTTCTTAAAAAGAATTTTTCCATATTATCAAATAAAATAACTAATCAATATGTTGTTGTTATGTGCCATAGTGGAGTATGACCCACAGCAATCCTATGAACCCTGAAACCCTGTCCTATAAGCAATACAGGACTGTACAGAAAGAAAATAAACAACACAGTGAATTAAAATCTTTTAAACAAAATATATTAACACCTCTTTGAAATCTGTTTTCCCCTCTCAAGCTGTTTACAGCTTGGGCTTTCCCCCACCCTTCAACAGTGTGTCACTGACTACAAAAGCAATACATACAGGAAGGTTTAACAATAAAGGTAAAGTCACCCAGTGTCCTACCTGGATGTGACCTCTATTAATATCCCGATAGCTGGGTTTTTAACTAGTCAAGATCATTTAGAGTATTAAATTGGCCTTCCTGTCTACTGCCTACCACTGGGGCCAGAGAGATGCCCATTCTGTTGCTTCTCTGTATTTTCAGAGGCCAAGCCTTTTTCTTTTCCCTCATTCTACAAACAGCATCCCTTCTCTTCAAACAAAACCTTTGCTTTTGAAGAGACTTTCCTCTGGATACATCCCCCTCCCTGTAAAGTATGTTCTCTGTAGGCAAACAACTTCCTGAAGAGAGTCTGAATGCTTCTCACCGACCAGCTCAAGTCCCCCACTACAAAGTCCAGGTAAAATCACATTCTCTCCCAAACAGTTCCTCAAGGTGAGGCTGGTAATGACTGTTGTTAGCCTAGCTTAATCTACATATAAAGGTGAACTATGCTCACATAATAGCAATATAGACTCGCATGTGGCACTTTCACCTTCATCTTCCTATACTGTACAAGCTTAATAACTTAATAACAATCAGATCTCATCACCATATATTCAGAAGCAATAAAATCTATTGAGGACAATAAAGTTTACAGATGTATTACTGAGAGATGTATTTCATTTTTACCTGAGGTCAAATATTAAAAATTGTTAGTAATACATCTATTTAGCGAGTCTTGGTCAGAGAATATTTGCTTAGGTTATATTTAATAAAATCTAACTATTATTGGGTCGACTCCAACTCAGTGATCCTCAATGACAGAACAGACCTGCCCACAGGACGTAAATCTTTATGGAAGCAGATGCCTCATCTTGCTTCCTCACAGTGAGTTCAAACTACTGACCTTTTGGTTAGCAAATGAGAACTTTCACCAGAGATCCTGATTTTAAAATAAGTTACTTTATTAGGAGTATATAACAGCATCTTCTTCAGATAAAGTAAACAAGAAGACTGAAAAATATACAAAGTTTTACTTAAATTTTAATGCCACTCGACTTCACTCACCCTGGTTGAGTGGGCTCCAGCTTATGATAATCCCCTCCCCCATCAGGGTTCTGAGGCTGCAAATTTTTAGCAGCAGGAGACTGTGCATCTTCCTCCCCTGAAGCTACTGGAAGATTCTAACGACTAGCGACACACTGTCTTTGGCTTAGCAGTACACTTTGCTATGGACTGCATTACCAGAGTGCCTGCGATCATTATGCATAAACTTACCAAGGAGAAATTCATTCTCTAGCAGAGAAGCGTCCCACGGAGGCATGCTACCTCCTTCCCTCATGCCTGCTGGCTTGGTGACAAATGCACTGTCAACTGGTTGATTTCCCAGTGGTGCGCTGTTTATTTTTGTCTGCTAATTTAAAAGTAGAAAACACAACATCATTTTTTATAAATCTACAACCAGAGTATTCACATATTGGTACAAAAGACCGAAAATCAGTGTTCCTTACTTTTTTTGGGTCCCATTAAAACTTCCCATATTTTGATATTTGGACATTTGCAACTGATAGTCGATTTCTTCACACCTACATTAGTTCTTTTTATCATGAGTTTTCAGGCCTCTCTACCAACATTTCCTATAATTTATACAATACTATATATAGAAATATTTTTGTATAGGGGGCTCTGGTGGCTTAGTGGTAGGAAACTGCAATGCAATCCCAAAGTCACAGGGTTCAACTCTACCAGCTACTCCACAGAAGGATAGGCAATCTCCTCCCTTGAGATTAACTGTCTCTGAAATCCCACTGGAGGGTCAGCTACGGGTCTGTTCTGACTCAACAATACACAACAATGACAACATACAAATTTTTAGGCAACTCTGGTGGTTTAAGGGGTAAGGAATTTCTCTGTCAATCCCAAAACAAGCAGTTCAAATCCACCAGCTGCTTCTTGGGAGAAAGATGCACAATGTCCTCCTGTGTGATTACTCTTTTATTGTCATTAGGCCATAACCATGTGTAAATTGCACAGGAGAAGAATGCAGTTGTCTCTTCAGTGGAGCAGCTGACGGATTTGAACCACTTGTGTTTGGACTGGTATTGCAACCTCCTGTCATTTAGGCTACCAGAGCTTCCTCTGTGTGATTTACAGCCTCTGAAAAGCCACCGAGAGTCAGCCATGAGTTAATTCGGACTCCATGGCAATGAGTTGGCTTTTAAAAAAGACAATTCTTTAAGGAGCCTGGTAGTGGAGCTCAGTATGTTTGGACTGCTAACGAAAGGTGTCATCAGCAGCTGGTTTGGAAGGTCACCATTAGTCAGAATCATCTTGCTGGTAGAGGGTTAGGTTTTTTATTTTTATACAAATGTGGTTTTTCATGGAAAACAGGAATGAAATTGATATCTTTAGAGTAGGGAACACTGTAAGGCACCAATGGCTGGGATTTTAGATTGGCTGTAAGAGGCCTATATTTATTCCCATTCCAAAGAAAGGTGACCTGACAGAGTGCGGAAATTACCGAACAGTTTCATTAATATCACATGCAAATAAGATTTTGCTGAAGATTATCCAAAAACAACTGGAACAGCACATCAACAGAGAACTGCCACATGTGCAGGCTAGGTTTAGAATTAGTAGTAGGGATATTATAGCTAATGTCAGATGGATCTTGGCAGAAAGCAGAGAATACCAGAAGAATGTCTATCTGTGCTTCATTGACTATGCAAAGGCTTTTGACTGTGTGGATCACAAGAAACTGTGGCTGACTCTGAGAAGAATGGAAATCCCAGAACACTTGACTGTACTTATGCAAAATCTATACTTGGACCAGGAGGCAGACATCAGAACAGAGCAAGCAAACACTGCATGGTTAAAAATCAGGAAGGCTGTACACCAAGGATGTGTCCTAGTTCCATACCTTTTCAATCTATATGCAGAACAGATCATCCGGGAGGCTGGGTTCTATAAGGAGAAATGTGGCATCAGGATTGGAGGAAAATTCATCAATAATTTGCTTTATGGAGATGACACGACACTGCCTGCTGAAACTGAGGAGGATCTGAAGCACTTGCTGCAAAATGTCAACTGCAGCCTTTGGTATTAATTGAAGCTCAACATCAAGAAAGCAAAGAATCTCACCACTGGGCCAATTAGCAGCATCATGATAGATGGTGAAGAGATTGAAATTGTCAACAGCTTTAATTTGCTTGTCTCCACAATCATGGTACCAGCAGGCAGGAAATGAAAAGATGAATGGTATTGGGGAAAGTCTGCTGTCAAGGACCTCTCCAGAGTACTGAAGAACAATTATGTCAGTCTGGAGGCTAAGGTGTGCCTGATCCAGGCCATAGTCTTCACAATTATCTGCTAAGCTTCAGATAGCTGGATAAATGAGTAGGGATGATAGAAAGAGAATTCATGCTTTTGAGTTGTGGTACTGAAGAAGAGTATTGAATATACCTTGGACTGCCAGGAGAACAAACAAGTTCATCCCAGATAGGGTGAAACCAGGATGTTCCTTGGAAGCAAGGATGCTGAGGCTTTGTCTGACATACTTTGGGCATGTTGCAAGGAAGGGACCAGTCCTTGGAGAGAGACATCATACTTGGTAGGGTGGAGGGACAGCGCAGGAGAGGAAGATCCTTGATGAGATGGTTTGATTCATTGACTGGGGTAGTGGAGGCAGGTGTGTCAGAGACAATAAGGTTGGCTCAGGATAGAGCAGGGTTTAGGGTTCTTGTATATAGGGTCACTATGATTCACAAGTGACTCGATGGCATATAACAACAATAACAACATTGTAACTATTCCACCAGGGGGCCCATTGAGCTGGAGCATGCAATTGATCTTAAGACTTGTGATTAGATAAATTTAGAAAAGCATGCCTGGGGTCTCTGGTGGCCTAGCTGTAAGGAGTTGCACTGCCAATCCAAAGGTAGGGTGTTTGAATCCACTGGTTGCTCCATGAGAAAAAGATGAGCAATCTTCTCCTGTGTGAGTTCCAGCCTCTGAAAAGCCACTGGAATATCAGCTACGAATGGGCCTAACTCAACGGCATGGAACAGTAATTTAGAACTAAAGTTGTTCTCCTTTCTTTCTTCTTGTTGTTGTTATGTACCATCAAGCTGAATTTGATACAATTCCTTACCACTGAGCCAGCAGAGCGCCTTCCTTCTTTATCAGCACATGCTTATCTTGATTTCCTTAAATCAAATCACTGCCCTACTTTCAAGTTTTAATATGTCTTTATATCCTTGGGGGAATGACGCTGTACCACACCTTCACTTTCTTTTGCCAAAACAACATTTGCATTTCTTTGGTCCCACTGGCTTTGTAGCTTGCATGACTCCACTTTAACCCGTCCCTGAACAAGAGCTGCAGGCACTGCCCTCTTCAGTCTCTTTTTTCTGTTTTCAACTCACCCAGCTCTGGCCTCTTGAGTCTCTCTCTTCCCAAGTTTTCCTTTTCCACTTGATGTTCATTCACCATTATACTTCATCTACCCTTTATGACTAAAGACAACTGTTTCATTTGCCCATAACCCCCAACTTCTCCATTATAGAGTTATCTGACTCTACCATATGCGTCACAATCCAGTGTTTTCATTCCTGCTTGTTGTCTTTCTCAAGGTCTAGGTCAGTCCTCTTTTCTTTTAAATTTTGCTGTTGTGGCTCAGAATATACACAACATAATAATAAAAAAATGCAACAGTTTCTACCAGTACACTTCAGTGATCATAGTTACATTCAAGTTGTACAATCATTTTCACCATTCTTTGAGTTGTTTCTTTTCCATTATAACAAACTCACTGCCTTCAAAGTTTTTATCTATTACTGTCAGTTTGCTCTCATAGAGATAGATTTTGAAAGAGCACAATGTTCAAGGCAGATATACCTTAGTAAAGCTAAATTATAGTTTAGACTTTGGAAGAGTTCAGAAAATATTTTTTATTTAAATTGAAGGATTATCTCAGGGCAGTAGTTTCAGGGGTTTATTCAGCCTCCATAGCTCCAGAAAGTCTAGAGCTCACAAGAATTTGAAATTTAGTTCTACATTTCTCCCTTTTGATCAAGATTCTTCCATAAGATTCTATAAAAGTCCTACTCAAAGTTACTTGACTTGTGGTTTTCAGCTCTTTGGACAAGTTATAATTTAATATACACAAAAGAAGTTTATTAATAAAGAAGAAAAACATAACAATTTATTGGTCATTGTAATAATTTAATACACTGATCAAGGGAACTCTGGTGGCCTAATGATAAGAAGTGGTGCTGCAATCAAGAGGAATATGGTTCAAATCCAACAGATGCCCTTGGAAGGGTGGGCAACCCCCTCCCATGTGATTTACTGCCTCTGAAAAGCCAATGGAGGGTCAGCTATGAGTTAACTATAATCAAGAGGTGAACAGGTATCAGAGGCAAAACATAAGCACAGTGAGATATCAATAAAAGGTAACAAAAAATCTGACTAAGCATTTATGAAATCCGATGAACTAAAGTGAACTGTTTTAAAATCCAAAGTGCATCCTTTTTACAGTACACTGCTCCTCCAAATCTTTGTGCTAATAGCAATTATCATGGATCTTATAAATCCATTCTTTCCCACCTGTAGTTCCAGTGTGAGTACAGATACATCTAACTAAAAGATTACCAAGTTTTGTTTTAACCATTTTAATATCCAAATAACTACTCTGCAAAGTATACAAACTGAGGGCTCATGTGAAGAGATAGAAAGAATTATCCTTATCCAAAGATGGAAATAGAATTCCTTCCATTTTCTGAGGTGCTAACTCTTTTACAAAAGGAGACTACCCGTCTTTCTCCTGTGGAACCACAGGTGTTTTTGAACTGCTAGGCTTTTGGTTACCAGCCTGATATGTTAAGCATTATGCCACCAGGGCTTCTTTGCATATAATTATAGATTGATTTAAACATACCAAGGTTGACAACTATATACATGAGCTTTCTAGTGAAGATTATTACAAAAACCAAGACACATTGAAAATTTACATTATTGTGCCTCATACTATTATGCTTAAGTACCTTAACACTCAACTGGTTCAAATCTGGGCTTGGTTCCTTACTAGCTGCACAACACTAAATAAGTTCCTTTTTTGGGCCTTGGTTTCTTTCTCTGTTGGGTGAAAAGAATAATTACACTTCATACGTTTGCTATGTGGATTAAGGGAATGAAAAGATGTATAGCATTTTAGAACAGTGTCTGTAACTTAGGAAGCCCTTATTTTTCACTTAATACTGTGCTTTTGAGGTTCTGCAGTATTTCCTGGAGGGTTCCTGTTGACCCTTGAAGGCTAATGAGTTGGAAAGTTTTCTCCTGGGATTAGAAGCCAGAATTTGGGGTGGGGGGGTGGGGAAGGCTATCAGAATCTGTTAACATTCTCATAGAACATAAAATAGGCTGTGAAGATGTGGCCTTTTATACAACTTGAACTCATTCTCTCAATATTATCTGCAATTCTGACATGACTAGGCAAACAAAGCTTCTGTCAGAGAGTAACCTCAGGATATTTGAGAACTTCCCAGGGCAGCCAAACCTGCAGAACAGCTGTCGGAGTTTGAGCCCAAACTCAGTGATGTTATCAACTCCCTTGGTAAAGTCAACAGACTAATTTTTCAGGGTGTTTCTGTATTTGTTTTGTATCTGCTTTCCCACAAAGATCACATCCACCAGTCTACTTTGTGGCTTAAAACCATGCATTCATTTCTACTTTCAATTACTGAGGGCTTCGTGTGTTCCAGACGGTGGGGGCACCCAGGTGATACAATCTATGTTTCAGGAAACTCACACCATCCCCAGACAATGAGTACAGTGCGTACGGAGGTATGGTCTAACAGCTGGCCCAACCAGTATTTGTTCAGAGGTCAGGAGGGATCAAGTGGCCAGGGTCATATGTTTTGCCTTTATTTTCAAAGATGGCAACTACACTGACTTTGGGTCCTATTTTCAGTAGGTTGTTCTCATCTGAGTCATTGTCTGGGGGCATTTTTTACATGGTCACAACTGGGTGAGGGTGCTTTTGGCATCTAGTAATTAGAGGTCAGGAATGCTAACCCTCCTACAATGTACAGGCTAGCCTCCACAGCAAAGAATTATAAGGTTCCAAAGGTGAATAGTGTTCAAGGTGAGAAATCTTAGAGACATTTATTTGAAAGAATCTAAAGATTTCCTTTAGAGTTAAAAAAATTCTATGTCTTCTGAACTCATTTGCTCTATATAAATTTATGCAAATATTTAAATAGTAGCTTTCTTCTTTCTTGAGTGGAAGGCCATCCAATAAACTTGCACAAATTCCCATATAGTACTAGGATTGTCTTCACACTCCTCCTGCCAGGCTGCTGATCATGTGATGGGTAATTCGTTAGTTCAAATATTGGCAAGCATCCACATGGCATTTGTGACCATTTCCAGCTGAGGGAAGGGGACAGGACGTCTGTGAATCATGAAAGTTGGCCTGCCATGTGGAACCCTTTGCTGAGACTGTAATTTCATTATTATCTCTCTCATTTTTAAGATAACTATTACTATAAAAAAATCTTCCATGTCTCAAAACCAAACCCATTGGCAACGAGTGGACTCTGACTTATGGTGCCTCTCATCAGGTTCCCGAAGTTGTAACTCTCTGTGGGAGGAAACTGTAGAAAGGGCCCAGCCCAGAAACACAAGAGCAAATATGGTAGCTTCTCTCCTCTTCCTTCCATCCATCCCTCTACAGCTCCCCAACCATATTGGGTCATACAGGAGTTGCGAGGTGATGTATAAGAGATACCACTGATGGCGTGTGTGGAAACACTATTGTCTCGTTTCTTCCTGGCAGAGTCTCCTGTGTGAGCATTTTAGTACCAGAGACAATTGGAAACCAATGACAGCTGGGAAACTTTGGACTCTACAGGCACTTACTTGTAAATTTAAAATGGAACTACAGGGAATCTTATTTAAATAGTTAGCATACATTTTGAATTCCTTACCAAGTAGCCATTTGGCAACCTTTAGGTCTCTGGTTACTTACCCCAGCACTCTCCCTCACAGACACAGAAGGTCCTGCAAGGCCATCGCATCTGTGGAAAGAATTGGAAATCATTTCTCTGAAAAAAGGACTAAATTTTACTAGAGGGAAAATCAAGGGTACCTTGCTTTAACACCCTGATATCTTTAAATGGTACATGTTAAATGCTCTGTAGGAAGACAATTTTGCAGGAGTGGCATCCACTTCCTAAATAACATGCCTCTGGAAATTCTATGAATGTTGATATATGTCAATAGTTGTAGAGGAGCTTCATGCCTTTTGTTCACAGGGTCTCTATGAGTCGTGCTTGACTCAAAGACAATTAACAATTACAACAACAATACACTGTTAAAAAGAAAAAAAATAAAAAGCCTTTGCCTATCAGAAGCAATGCATCTTTGTCATTCAGACAGAACAAATTTACAGAAGAAAAACCAATAAAAAATAGTTATATTGTTAGATAGTGAATGTAAGTCAGGCACTGTTCTCAAGCGCTCTGGGCATCAGTTTAGTACTCTTATATCCCTGTGAGGGAGGTACTGTTAGTAACACAGTTAGAAGATGAACTAGAAGGTGAGTGTAGACTATCTAAATCCAGAACCCTCCTTAACGAGTATGTCCTTACTGCAATCTGAAAATACCATTTCTGTTTCCACATATTTATATTTTTATTTTAATGAGATATTAACTCAAGAATAGATTAAACAAATAACCCAAACAAACTCACACTCTTCAAAGTAGCTTCAAGATGTTGAATTTGATAAAGAGGCTTCTTCTTATTTTGAAACCATATTGGAAGAGAACAAGTCTGCTTTTATTATTCATGTTGTGGCTCTTAGACTCAGAGAAATGATGTAAAACAAGAGATAGGGCCAAGGTTGAGACATATTTTGGATTTTTAAATCTTATTTTAAAATCTTTATAATCTTATGCTAAGGGTTCTGCAGCTTTAAGTGCAGCACACAAGTAAACAGAACACAGTTGCCTAGAGCAACAGATGACATCAGATCCCGTCAAGGACTGAGAGGACATGCAAGGGAATTAAAGTGTCAATTTAGGGCTCTAGGTCAGATCAGCCCAAAGTGACAAGGCATTGTTGTCCCTCTTCCAAACTCATAGCTATTTGATGATTCACAAAAGCAAAACAAAACATGAAAGGCCAAACAATTTTATATTTTTAAAATATCCCTATGAATTATATATTTTAAACTCACATTTTAAATAAATTGAACTTAATATCAGAGTTTTTTTAATATTACTCTGAAATATAAGATTTACTAAGAATAGAAGTTAAACCCTTATTTTTACTCTTACCCTTCTTTTCCACCTACCTTTAAAAATCTGCATTTCTCACACATGCGAGGCATTATTTTGAAGGCTTTGGAAGAAAGAAATCTGAAATTCTGGTTTCACTGTTGCTGTTGAGTTGATTTCAACTCATGGTAACTCTGTGTATGTCAGGATAGAACTATGCATCTGAAGACTTTTTTGGAAGTAGATCAACAATGGCCATCTTCCAAGATGCCCCTCAAATCCTTCCAAACCTCCATGTCTTTAGTCTAATTCCAGTCATTACTACTATAATCCTCTGTCTCCAGATTTTGTCCCAATCCAACCCATCCACTGCAATTCACAGTAATCAGTTTAAACTGAACATGCTTCTTCCCTACTTAATATTTTAGTGACTCCTATTTGTGCTCAGTTAACGACCAAATCCTTCTCTCTATTTTTCTTGCTCTTTATGTGCTAATTCTGAACACTTTCAATCCTCATATCTCACCTTTCTGGAGTCTACTGCCATAATGAATTTGGCTCACCTCCGAGTATGAAAAAAACCCCACATCTTTACTTAGATAACAATCTCATTCCTTAAGAATCATTACAAATGCCCCTTTCTCTGAGAGATCTAGCCTGGGATACTTACCCTTTTTTGAGTGTTCCTATATCCTATACACACAAAAAAAGGGTAGGGTATTGCCTCTGGAAACTATGATCCTTGATAAACACCGGTAGTTATAGAAAGGCTTTAGGTCTTTTGTTCATACAGTTTCTATGAGTCATGCTCGTCTCAACGGCAATCAACAACAATAGCATATGGACTTCCTTATTTTAGCACTTTTCTTTCTGCTTCCTTTTAAGTATCCTCACAACACTGACACTCATGAGGTCATGGACTGTATCTGCGTGCCCCTCTCTATTCTTAAGGCCTGGCTGAGTGATGTCTATAGAATTCCTCAAGAAGTATTTGTTGCATAAATGGATGAATGCCTTCATTTTTATTCTCATCACATTCGCTCTTTCTCCTATTGTCTCCATCTACCCTCCAACTAATTTCCCAAGTCAGAATGAAGAGCCCATGCCATTCTTCTTCATCTACAACTAATTACCAAGCTGTCATGACTCTAGACTAAACTTGCCACACATCTCCCCATCTCTGCCATCTTCACTCTTCCTGCATTGGTCTCAACAATCTGGTCTCTATGGATCTAGTTTTGCTTCGTTTAGTCTTTGTGGGAAGCGTGAGCAAAGTTTTCTCAGCCTCGGCACTATGGACAATTTGGGCTGGATAATTCCTTTGTGTTATCTCTGTCCTGGGCACTGACAGGTGCTCAGCAGCACAGCTCTGCTCTACTCAGTAGATAACAAGGAGCATTCCCGCTCCACTCACGAACCCATAATGTCTTTGCTGTTGACTACCATCGAGTCAGAACTGAGCCAAGCCTGATTCTCTAGCATGTTTTTAGAGGCAGTTAATTGCACAGAAGGAGACGGCTCCTCTTTGTCCTGGGGAGCAACCAGTGGATTTGAACCACATGCCTTTGGGTTGACAGCGAAACTTCTTACCACTGTAGACACTGCCAAATGTTTCTTGGGAGGATGCCTTTTCATAGGTGAAAATCATTATGGTAATGTCCTCTTTCAAATTAAAACCCCCCTGATTATGTCACTTTTCTATTAAAAAATTATCAGTTAATACAATATATACCTATGCTTGCATCATGTGCACATGCAAATAGAGCAAAATACTCATGTTTGTCTATGTCTGAAGATTTTGAGTGATTTCCCCCCCTGATTTTTTATTATTATTATGTATAATCATGTATAAGATTATTATGTATAATAAATTATAAGAAATAATATTATTATGTATAGTACATAAATATGAAGAGGAATGTGGCATCACGATTGGTGGGAGAATCATTAACAGCATACGTTATGCAGATGACACAACACTGCTTGCTGAAACTGAGGAGGCCTGAAGTGCTTGCTGCAGAAGATCAAGGACTACAGCCTTCTATATGGACTGAAGCTCAACATCAAGAAAACAAAGATTCTCACCACTGGGCCAATTGGCAGCATCAGTATGGATGATGAAGAGATTGAGATAGTTAACAGTTTTAGTTTACTTGGCTCCACATTCAACACTGTTGGTAACAGCAGCCAGGAAATCAGGAGACGAATGGCAATGGGAAAGTCAGCTGTGAAGGACCTCCCAATAGTACCAAAGAGCAATGACGTCAGACTGGAGACTAAGGTGCACCTGATCCAGGCTATAGTCTTTGCAATTACATGCTATGCATCAGAGAGTTGGGCAGTGAATAGGGTTGATAGAAAGAGAATTGATGCCTTTGAGCTGTGGTGCTGAAGATGAGTGTTGAGTATACCATGGACTGCTAGGAGAGCAAACAGGTTTGTCCTGGAGAAGGTGAAGGCAGAATGCTCCTTGGAGTCAAGGATTCTGAAGCTTCATCTGACATACTTTGGGCATGTTGCAAGGAGGGACTGGTCCTTGGAGAGGGACATCATGTTTGGCAGAGTGGAGGGACGGCGAAGGAGAGGAAGACCTTCGATGAGATGGATCAAATCTGTGACTGGAGCAGTGGGAATAAGTGCGTTTGAGATGGCTAGATTGGCATAGGATAGAACAGCTTTTAGAGTTCTTGTACATAGGGTCACTATGAGTCGCAAGTGACTCAATGACACATAACAACAACAAAAACATAATGTATAATAATAATAATAAAAATAATAATAATAATATTTTGTATAATAAAACTGACTAACTGCTCCTTATAGCCTGCAAGATTCAGTCTGAATTCCTTAACAGTGCATTACATATTAGGTGCCCACATTCTGAGCTCTGCCAATGTTTCCTACTCTGTGTCTTATCAGTCTTTATCTTTTATCTCTGGACTTCAGTGACCTAGATAAATTCACGCTTGCTCCAGTCTCTGCACCTTTGCTCATGCCCTTCCTCATGTCTGGTGCCTTGCAAACTCATTTTTGTACTTCAAAGATTGACTCTTCCTACATGTTTCTCTGGTAGGCTATTATGGCCAACCACAGCATCTACCACAATGAAACATGATCACCAGTTCACTCTCCTGGTTTTCAGAGTGCAGTTAGTCCATATAGTGTTCCTGTGTGAATGCTAAACAGCATCCCTTCCTCAGACCCCTTTAACTGGATAATTGTCATGAAAATATACCAATCTATGAGATCATGATATGACTGCCATTTCCTAGTCCTGTGGAACACCCTGCCCAATTACAGGCAGCAATCTGGTGTTCTTTACAAGACAGTAAGGTCCTCTGGGGCACAGACTCTGCTTTATTGTCAAGATTTTATCTCCAGCTAAATACAGTGTCTGATACAGAATAAGACTTGGGGGCGGGGGTGGAAAGCCTGAGATAAATGAAAAAAAGTGTCACTCTGGCTACTTTCACCCATGCCAGGAATCTTGGAACTCTCCAAGGGTAGAACAGTAAAGATCCAAGCTGTGGTGGTTCCCAAATGTAAAGAAACATCAAAACACTTATTGTGGTGGTGTTGTTGTTTACCATTGAGTCAGAACTGACTCATAGCTGACCCTCCAGCATGTTTTCAGAGGGAGTATATCTCACAGAGAATGTTCACCTTTCTCCCATAGAGAAGAAAGGCTCGTGGATTTGAACCAGGAGCCTTCAGGTTGGCAATGCAGTTCCTTTTGTTGTTATGTGCTGTCGAGTCATCTGTGACTCATTGCATCCTTATGTACAATAATCCTAAACC